ACACACATATATATATATATATATATATATATATATATATATATATATGTCTGCTTTCAATAATATCAAACAGTTCGCCCCGGCAACAGGTGCGGAGGGAAAAGGGATATCACTGGCGCCCTTTTCCGTTGCAGGTTCTGAGTTCTGCGTTTCCTCCGAGACATTCCCCGAGAAGGAGTTTTGTGATAAGGATCGGGACTGGCTGGATCTCTGGAGTGACCCTGAGACCAAGTGGAATCTCGCACCTGATAACGTGGTTTCCGGTAGATGTACTGTGCTTGTTTCGAATCTGGAATTTTTTCCCTCGTCTAATTAAGGATAAAAATAAATATTTTGATGATACTACTGATACTGCGATTAGTACTACAAAAATTAATAATGTCAATGAAATTATTACTAATACTATTGATATGAATACTGCTACTACTAATAAGAATATACTACTGCTATTAATGATAAAGATACTGTAATGATAATGATAACAATAGTGATGATGATAATAATGATAATAATAATGATAGTAATAATCATAATAGAAAAGCAATATCATTATTATAGGTTCTGTTATATGTAAGAGTATCTAGATTCGTGAAAAAATCAAATTTCAAAATAACTATATATTAGCGACATTCTCTGCTTAACACTTTGCATTCATATTGGCGTATGTTAGGACCTGTGAGGACCGTCATTAACTGTCAGTGACATTATGACGATTTCTATTTCACATTAGTTCTCGAATTCCACATGTGCCTACATGTGATAAATTCTAGGAAGTTACTTTATTAATTGGGTTACATATGAGGCCAAAATCAATGTAAGAAAGGGAAATACCATGAAAAATGCAAAATAACATTAAATACCAACAGCATTCAGTAAAAGAACGAAAGAAAAGTAAAATAATCTAATTATAAATCCTCACAGGATGCAGCCAGTACTCCCTTCTTCGTCTCTCTTTGGATCTGCACGACTGGCCCACCAAGCTGCTCTGGCGGCCGGGCGAACGCGCCGAGAGCTTGCGCTTGCTTTTATGGCGAACTAGAAGTGTTCATTGGAACGTGTAGGTCCATTTAAGTTCTCCAGGAAAGCAGATTCGCAACTCCCTTATGACTTGACATTTCGGAGTGTGTCTGAAGGTAATTCTACTTCCATTAATTTTAATCGGTGAACTAGGCGCGGAGTTCTTAGATGAGCAGTGATAATAATAATAGTGATAATGACTAATATAATCATATAATAATAGCAATAATGATTACTGTGATAATAATAATGATTATAATAATAATGATGATACTACTACTAATAATAATGATAATGATTATGATAAGAATATTAAGAGCAAGAAAACAAAAACGAGAAAATACCCATAGTAATAGTAATAATAATGGTAAAAACAATAATGATAAAGTTTATAATAGTAAAAATGATAATAGTGATAATGATCTTGATAATGATAATGACAATGATGATGATGACGAAAATGATTATCATTATTATGAGAAAGCATTTAAAAATGCATTCTGTCTCCGTCTCCACTTTTATAATAAAAGTCACCTTAACCCGCCTGACTTTTCTTCAGATGGCTCCTGCGTGGTGACGAGCGCCAGCCTCGACGTGTCCCGCACTTGTCAGATGAATCAAACAGGAATATTGCGCATTTCCATTGAAAGCCTTGACGACAACTTTAAATGGACTCCGAGCTACTTTTCCTTCAACTGCGAGGATGGCGCAGGTGAGTTCTTTCCTTTCCCTATGATCTCAATTTGGGAAGTTCATCGCGCGAAAGATTCGGCAAGCTTTCGATGACAGAAATGAGAAAAAATGATACTAATTGGAATCATGACAATAGGTGTTATATTCACGATGAATATGCTAATTATGTTAATGTTAATAATAATGAAGGTATTATATCGATGAAAAACAATTATAGTAATATCAGTGACAAAAAAGTGATTGTTAACAGCAGAAAGTTTGATAATAAAAGGGATAGTAATACTGATGAATCATGGGTCGTAGCCAAACCGAACGCCTTTTTAAAATCTGACTGATAGTTGAACATTATATTCCTTATATTGTAGTTATTTCTAAAGCCTTATCTTGCACAAAATCTTCTAGGATGGCAAACCGGCTCAACGACTTCAAGCCCTGATGACAACAGCACTGAAGGTCAGTCTGAGGATGGCGCATAATAATGAATAAATAATGAAATAAATAATAATAAATAATAAATAAAAAAAAATAAATAATGAAAAGGAATAATAATGATACTGAAAAGATAGCGCTAACAATAAAATTGGTTCTAATAATGTAAAAAAAAAAAAAAAAAGAAGTAAAGACAATGATATTGTTAATAATGTTACTGAATTATCACATTTGCCTTTTGTATAACACGCATCCTCGCTAGAGATGCACTCGTATTCTATTTTGTGAAAAAAGTATTATGTTTTGTTTCCTGTAAATAAACTTACCGGTACGTAATGGGAGATCGAACCCCAACTCTTAC